CCCCCCCCCCCAAAGGGGTCCCGACCCCCAGGTTGAGAAACACTGATCTAGATCGAGGGAAATCATGGTGCTCCTCTATTCTGCTTTGGTTAGAATACTGTATTGTCGAAGGTTTTCATGGCTGTGAATTTTCTGGGCTGCCTGGCCATGTTCCAGAAGCATTCCCTCCTGATGTTTTGCCCACATCTATGGCAGGCATCCTCAGAGGTTGTGAGGTTTGTTGGAAAGTAGGCAAGTGGGATTTATATCTGTGGAATAAAATCCAGAGTGGGAGAAAGAACTCTTGTCTGTTTGAGGCAAGTGTGAATGTTGTGATGGGCCACCCGGATAAGCAATGAATGGCCGTGCAGCTTCAAAGCCTGGCTGCTTCCTGCCTGGGGGAATCTTTTGTCGGGAGGTGTTAGCTGGCCCCGATTGTTAGAAATTATCCTGCCTTTTTAGTGTTGCTCTTTATTTACTGTCCTGATTTTGGAGATTTTTTTTAAATATTGGTAGCCAGATTTTGCTCATTTTCATGGTTTCTTCCTTTCTGTTGAAACTGTCCACGTGTTTGTGGGTTTCAATGGCTTCGCTGTGTAGCCTGACATGACAGCTAACACCTCCCAACAAAGGATTTCCACAGGCAGGAAGCAGCCAGGCTCTGAAGCTGCAAAGGCCATTCAGTGCAAATCAGGGTGGCTCATTCCAACATTCACACTTGCCGCAAGCAGACAAGAGTTCTTTTCCCCACACTGGACATCATTCAGTAGCCAGATTTTGTTCCTTTTCATGATTTCCTCCTTTGTGTTGACATTGTCCACATGCTTCTTGTGGATGTCAGTGGCTTCTCTGTGTAGCCTGACGTGGTGGTTGTGAGAGTGGCCCAGCACTTCTGTGTTCTCAAATAATATGCTGTGTCCAGGTTGGTTCATCAGGTACTTTCCCCCCACCCTTTCCCTCCTCCTCTCCTGCAGCTCCTGCAAGCGGCTACAAACTACCGCAACGGGCACACGGGTCAGCTCTCGGCCATCACGGCCTCCTTGCTCTTTGCAGGGTCCTTGGCGCGGATCTTCACCTCCATCCAGGTAGGAATGCTCTGCGAGTTTGAGAAGGGAGAGGGAAGTGGCTGAGGGGGAAAAGGAAGGGGCCTGAGGCTAGCAGAAGGAGGTCAGACTGGATGGCCTTTGAGGGTCCCTTCCACTCTAGGATTCTATTATTATTACTGTTACTATTATTATTAAGCAGAGGCTGGATGGCTATCTCTTGGGAGGGACTGAATGGTAAGAAGCCCTAATTAGTACGAGGTCAGACTGGATGGTCTTTGGGGGCCCCTTCTACTCTAGGATTCTGTTGTTGTTGTTATTATTATTATTATTATTATTATTATTATTATTAAGCAGAGGCTGGATGGCTATCTGTTGGGAGGAATGGTAAGCCCTGATTAGTAGGAGGTCAGACAGGTTGGCCTTTGGGGGTCCCTTCCACTCTAGGAATTATTATTATTATTATTATTATTAAGCAGAGGCTGGACGGTTATCTGTTGGGAGGGATAGGATGGCAAGCCCTGCCTGGCAGAAGGAGGTCAGATTGGATGACCTCTGGGTGTCTCTTCTAGCTCTAGGATTCTGTTATGATTGCGATTACGATGATTAAGCATAGGAGGGCCATGTATTGGGAGGGATGGAATGGTGCCTTCCTGCTCTGTATTGTTCTGGATGCTGGCCCTTGCCCTGGGCTTCTCAG